TTTATGCAATTTTATGCGATTAAATTGCGGGAACTTGCAAAAACTGCGGTTTGATGAAAAAGAGAAAAAAAAGTGATTCCCCCAACACCCAATTCACTCGGCTACTACTTTAATGTAAAGAGTCATTTCTTATTACTTCCTATGATAAGCAAGCATACTACATCACAGAAAGTGCTGGGAATATTTAAGTTCTCATCTTGTTTTATTTCAGACCTTAACAAACAGATGGCTCAAACTTACAAAACATTGAGTCGAACAAGTTCTGTAGCTTTACAAAATGAATATGCTACAACTTCTGTAAAAATGAATAAATAAAAGATTAAAAAATAAAATGTGTGCTTCCTGTTTTACAGAGGTAGCTATACAAAACAGACATCTTCTGTTAAAATAAGTGTTTTCAGTGCACAGTAACGTAAGCAATACAGTAACAGTACAGTCTTACAGTAATGTAAATGTACATACTACTAACAAAAAAGTGCAATCTTACAACTGTAAAGTTGCATAAACTCCTGAATAAAACTAACTACGTAGCCTCTAACACTTCATAACGTTCCCATGGCAACAGGGGAAATGGCTGCGCTTGTGTGAAGTAAACGCAACATTTTTCAACTTTCTGCTAAGATATATGTGACTTTTTGCAACGAAAATGCGGGGATTATGAAATCATGCAAGCCCGCATATTTTGCGCGCGGAAATCTGCAATTTATGCGGCGAAAGTGCGGCGTATTTGAAAAAACGCGCCCCCCGCATAAATATGCGGACTTTGGCTGATTTTGCGTGGAATCTTGCGATCGCATAATCGCGTTTTTCTGGAGGGACTGAATTAACGTGCCTTTAGCGCGGCTCGTGTTGCTTGCGCAGCTCTTTGCCACGCCCACTCACTTTTAGACCCTTACAAGCAGCTACATTTGGAGGCTTGCCCGTCTTTTTTCTTCGCCTGTGTTGCGATCGAAACGTCGTGGGTTTTTTTGCTTTTATTATTTTTATTTTTTTTTATTTTTTTGACTTTACCGAAAGAACCAAGAATATCAACGCAAGTCAATAACACTGCCTAAAAAACAAATACTACTATATATAATAAGCTACGTGTTGAACAATGGGAATTGTTCATCGCACATGGAGGCCAGAGAGATATAGTGAACAATACCACCTCCTTTTGTAAGGGACCCAGTTTTTTTGCTCAATGTGCCTCTAACCCACAATATAATGCATATCAAAATCCTGAAAGATTCTTGTTAATCCACTGTTGGGTGAAGGCCTCCCCCCACCGCTTGTCAGCCAGCGGTTGTTTGACCATACTTGGCCATGCTGGTTAGCATGGGTTTGTTCAGGGGCAGCACCGGTTCAGGTATCATTCGCCACTGAATGAGGTTTTACAGCGCAGTATGCCAACCGTTGCACCACCACTCCAGGCAATTATATTACATGCCCCTTTGAGCGCAATAGGTAGAAGAATATGGTCTTTTGAAAGAGCTTCCATAAAATAGCTCCTTATCACAAAGGCAAACAAAGGAGCCACTGATTGCTACCTTGATGTGTTGGAAACACTGCACCCCCCCCCCCCCCCCCCACTTCTTCCCATCATAACCCAAACGAACAAAAGACCCTCTCACACACGCGCGCGCACTCTGTGCCTGAGCTTCACATTGCCCCCTGTACTCACAATAAGCTGCTGCATACAGCATTCATTGGGTAGGGATCACGACTGTTCAGGTGTTCGAGAGATTTGCCACATAATAGTGCCACTCGCATCAGGTGCTCGCAATTCCAGGAATTAGCTTCAAGGCTCTTCGCCCCCCCCCCGCCCCCACGTTCCATTGTGCATCTGCGGTGGTGGAAGGTCCGCCAGGCTGCGCAGGGGGAGGGGGTAATCTTGCCAACGAACTAATTAGCCTTTCTGAAGAATCACAATGGGGAAATTAACATGTGAAAAATTCACATTCAGAAAATGAGTACAGCCATGAAAGTCTGAAATTCTAATTGTTTAGCGACTTTTTTCTGCTTTGCCAGTGATGCGAGAGGACGGCAAAAAAACACGATACGTTCGTCAATAACCCTAACCCTTAAAAATATAAAATAGCCAAAGTTTTTATTGTCTTTATAGCAACCTAAAATGTCATACAATTAAACAATTGATATATTTAGACAATGTTGAGACGACACGTCATAAATTTTGACCTCAAACTTTCGTGACTGCAGGAATTTATATGCTTGGTTCTTTCGGTAAAGTCACGTAAATAGAACATAAAAATGTATAAAAAATACTAAAATAAAAGCAAAAAACCACGACGTTTCGATCGCAACACAAGGGGTCTTCATCAGACGGAGAGAGAAAAATGACCGCTTGTGTTGCGATCAAAACGTCGTGGTTTTTGCTTTTATTTTTAATTTTAATGTATTTATTTATATTTTCTATCTACGTGACTTTACCGAAAGAAACAAGAATATGACATGTCATTAATTGTACAGTTATGAGTCAATTACATACAATGCCGTAATCAATTACAGTTATATCAAGTGCGTTAAATAATACATTTACACAAGTACTCGCAATGTAATAATTTTGGCCAATGTGAGGGCTCTTGCAGGCAGTGAATTGTAATTGCGCTAAACTTTGGCGCAAAGGCCACCCCACGCGAACATGTGTCAAGCCACGCTCACCCATAGTTTCCCATCAAAGAGTAACATATTCTGCCACCAACGACCGCAACACTCACACTAAATGCAATGCTGTTTCCGATTGACTGTACGGTATTCAAAATAACGAGGAAGTGGCTTAAATTATTAATAACACTCGAACAAATTTTTGCGTGAGTCACCTCCGCTGTTTCAGCCAGAAACTCGTCTGGAGATGTTGGTGGTACCCATTGTGACCGGTAGATGGCGAGAATTTGGGCCAAAAGTTTAACTTTTTAACAGATTTTTATTAATGGGCTTTCTCCCAAAAGTCGATCAGACGAGGATATTTAACTGAATTTACGCTACGTTACATTGTGCATCTAAAATGGAGACGGAGCGTGCCTCAATTTGATTATACAATAGGCTTTACCACTAATACAGGTGCTATGATTTAACGATAGGCTTTACCACTAATGCAGGTGCTATGATGTTCAAACATATTGATGCTGTACACAGATATGACTCAATTTAATTAAACTCTCCTGCCTTTACTCTTTGGTTCTTTCGCTAAAGCCACGTAGAAATAAAATAAAAGAAATAATGGAATACACGACGTTTCGATTGCAACACAAGCCACCGTCATCATGTGTGAACGAATGCTGAATTTGAAGTTAAGTCTGAGAAATTGGAAGTTTAATAGAGAGAGAGACCAGTTGAACCGGTGTTAATATCCACTGCTGCGTGTTGCGTGCTTGCGCACGACTTGCACGCATTTCTATTGCTAATTAGCACCTGCGTCGAGGCATTTACATCTCAACAGGTGCCATTTAACCTTTCAGATGCGGTGCCGCAACGAATCATTAAGCTAATTTAGTCAAAAATGCTGCGTTGGCAGTGGTGCACAAGCACCATTAAATGATAATGCGCCGTGGATCTTTCGGGGCCCATCTCGAATCTTGATTTTAAGCTTTCGTGACTGCAGGAATCCCATACTTTTTGGTTCTAAATTTGAAGTTTTCGTGACTGCAAGGATTCATACTCTTTGGTTCTTTCGGTAAAGTCACGTAGGTGGAAAGAAAATAAAAACAAATCACGACGTTTCGATCGAACGCATTTGATTTCTAACTACGTGACTTTACCGAAAGAACCAAAGAGTATGTTGCGTCCGTGATAATTGTTGCGTCGAGTTTAGTTTTTTCGTGATTAATTTTTCATTTGAACGATATATATAAAATAATTGTAAATTCGCGTTTCACTTGCAACTATTTATTATTATGTTAATGAAATGAACCGTTGCAGTGGGTGCACGTTTAATGCGATTTGTCATTTTCAGGATTAAAAAAAATAATTAAAGTTAATCTCTGGAATTTGCATCCGACTCCGCCCACATGCAAATACAGGCCACGCCCATTTGGCTAAGCCCCGCCCACCCGCCCCCCCCCCGCCCCCCCGCCCCCCCCTGCCACCCCCCTGCCCCCCCCCGCCCCCCCTGCCCCCCCCCCGCCCCCGCCCCCCCCCGAACCGCATCGCGCACTTCAGCAAACGACGAAACCTTGCGCAAAAAATACGCGGGTTACGTTCCTTTAATGTTTCCGGGCGCGCATTAAAACACAAACACCGCGTTACGCTTCGTGCCCGTGATAATAAATGAAGTATATTTAATACATTCAGGGCATTGAGTTAAAACACAAGTGGGGGGTGGAAGTGTGAAGAGGATGTGGCTTTTTTTTTGGTGTACGGTTAACGTGTGTGAATCAAAGGGACCAAATACAAACTGCACGTGAAGAAAATTTGGTGGATGTCCCATCTACTGAAACGTTAAAGTGTAATGCGAAACAACTTTACAGCGTGGGGGGATAAAAAAAAATGCCACCACCAACCCCCCACTTTCCCTCACAATCCATACCCCTGCCTTGCCCCCACTACAACGCGGCGGTTGGTCCGCATTTTTGGCGGGAAAACCAACACCCCACCCCCTTAACCCGCCCTCCATCCCTCCTACATGCCCCCACCCCCCTTGCCCTCCACCCCGCACGCGCCGCCTTTCCACCCGTAGCACAAAGCAAGGCGCGCGCGCGACACCGCCAGAGAGCGCGACGGAAAGAAGGAAGAGGGGGGAGGGTTGTGGGCGTGGCCCCGTGTGGGCGTGTTTCCTCGTGCAGCCCCCCCCCACCCCCCTCTCTGCCTCAGCCGGGCACCGCCTCCTCCTCCACCACTCTCACTGCGAGCGAGGGGTTCCCTCCCACCCACCCACCCACCCCCTCCGCCGCCCCTCCCCCCACCCTCCACCCATCCCCCACTCTCTCTGTCTCGCGCTATCCCCCCCACCCCCCTCCCCCCCACCGCTCTCCCCTTATCAGGGCCGCCCGCGCCCTCCCTCGCGCCACTCTGTACTTCGCTCTCCCGCTCGCTGCTGCTGCTTCTGTTGCCGGCGCTGCTGTTGCAGGTAAACCACAACCACCACCACCACCAGCAACCACCAGCAATGCTTTAGTAACAACACTTTGAGAACTTGGTTCGCTGCAGCGTACGTGACGATGTTGTTGAAGGAGTTTAAAGTTGCTTATCCGTAACCCACCACCACCACCCCCCACCAACCCATCTTTTCCCCATGGGCGCTGTGGCTTCATTCATTCACAATTCAATGTTTGGAGACACCGGTGGCTACTGAAGCTAGAAGCGCACTTCTGTAATGAGTTTGTGGTTTAATTTCGGGGGCTTTTTGTTGGTTGTTGCAGAACTTGAGTTTTTAGTTATTTAATAGTTTCGGGTTTTATTTTTGTTTTGGTTGTGTATCGAAGTGCACTTGCGTTTTTTGAGTCTTACGGCAGGTGTTGTTGCAGTGTTTCAGCAGTTAGATTGTTTAACTCTGCGCAATTAGTCTTATTGTGGTGAGATTAATACATTTTATGTTCCTGTTTCCCAACTCTACTGTACACTTTATTTTTAAATACTGCATTCGCGTGCGAGATGCGGCTCGCTGAATTTGGGCAGTCTAGAACTTTATCGCTTCCAGTCCCTACTCCGATTAAGGCAACTTTTGACTTTAAAGAATACCTTTTTTAAGATTTGTATAAAACTCGAGTTGATTTAAAACCATTCACTTAACTAAAATCTCGCACGATCGCGTCGACCACGTGGTTCTTTTTAAACCCACTTACGAATGGGTGGGGGGGGCAGCAAGCGTGCCGGAAATGAATGCAATTGCATTGCAACTTATTAGCAGCATTACTTATTCGGTGTTTCTCGCTTTGTTAACGACGCTGCTTCCTTCTTTATTGTTGCTTTTTTTTACAGGAGAGCCCGGCCCCCTGCAGAATATTTTAAAGAGACGCATCGACAAGGAGGAGGGTGGAATATAAAAGCCCTCCCCGCCACCACCACCACGGCCACCGAGCGGCGTGTTGCGTAACGAAAGTATCGGCGGCACGTGTCCACGTGTGTCCACGTGTGGGCACAGAAGGGCGGGCGAGAGAGGGTTGCTGTTGATAAACTTCGATGCCGGGTGCAGCCCCAGCCCCGTACGCGATGGCTGCCGGCAGCAGGGATTACGAGTTCGACTCCTACAAGCCCTTCTTCTACGACGACGACTGCGCCTGGGACTTCTACCAGTCCACGGCGCCCAGCGAAGACATTTGGAAAAAATTCGAGCTCCTGCCCACGCCACCCCTGTCGCCGAACAGGGCGAACTCGATGCTGTTGCTGCCCTCGGGTGATCCGTCCTACGATGACAACACCGACTTGCTGGACGATGAAATCGAGAGCCGCAGCGTCCTCTTGGACCCCATCTGCGACTACGGCAGCGGGCGTAGCAGCATGAAAGCGGTGGTGCTGCAGGACTGCATGTGGAGCGGCTTCTCGGCTAGAGCCACGCTCGAGAAGTTCGTGACCGAGAAGTTGGCCGCCAAGAAGTTGGGCGGCTTCCCCAGCAGCAGCAGTGCCAGCGTGTCTCTGCTCTCCACGTGTCTGCCCGCGGTCTCCTGCGCCCTGCCCCGGGAGCTGAGTGCCGGCGGCGGGAGCCCGGGGGGGGAGGGTGGCTGCGCTGGGGTCGGTGGAGCTGGTCCCTGCTCCGCATCGCTCGTGGTGACCTCGGCTGTGGTGGACCCTGCGGAGATGCTGCCCTTCGGGCCGGGAGGGCAGCACCTGCCGGCCGAGGGGCAGAGCCAGGGGGACGAGGAGGAAGAGGAGGAGGAGGATGGGGAGACGACTGAGAACGGGGTGATGTCTCCCGGCAACGAGACGCCAAGCGATTCCGGTAAGACTTGAGCAGACTTGCACGGTGTTTTGTGTTTTTTTTTATTCAATCGTGTTTTGCTTGTTCGTCTTCGTTTACAACAAACTTAAATTTGTCAAGCTAACTACATGAATGTTTGCGTGTATACTTCCACCATTTTCAACAGCTTGTGTATCTGTGCAGTTTAGGTTTATAATGTTGGATTTTTCTACATTGCGTTGCTGACGTATAAATGTTTCCCTTCTGCAGACGATGACGACGATGATGACGACGAGGATGATGAGGAGGAAGATGAAGAGATTGACGTGGTGACCGTGGAGAAGAGGGGTCCTGCCAAAAAGAGCGTGGCGGTACACGCCGTGTACAACACAAACACGGCCCGCCAGTATAACCAGCAGCAGCAGCGGTCTGCCCCAGCCTACACATCGCGCGGCCACATCCCGCCGGTGCACCAGCAGCACAACTACGCCGCTCCCTCGCCTCCTCCGTGCAAAGTGGAGAATCCCCCGGCTGCCAAACGCTTCCGCCCCGACACGCACCCCACCGTTGCCCCCACGCCGCCCCCGGTGGCACGCGGACCTATGCAGAGCCGAGGCGGTTCCAGTTCGGCCAGCTCGTCTCGTGCCAACTCGACGGGGTGCGGCAGCCCTCGGAGCTCCGATTCCGAGGACCAGGACAAGCGGCGCACGCACAACATCCTCGAGCGGCAGCGGCGTAACGACCTCAAGAACAGCTTCTTCTGGCTGCGTGATCACATCCCTGAGCTGGCGCACAACGACAAGGCAGCCAAGGTGCAGATCCTGAAAAAAGCGATGGAATATTCACGCACCCTGCAGCGTCAAGAGAAAAAACTCGAGGCGGAGAAACGGCAGCAGCAGATTCGACATCAGGAGCTGCTGAAGAGGCTGGAAATCCTGAGGGACTCAAAGACCAAGCGGTCTTGATTTGCATCTTGTTTAAAGACTTTAAACCAAAAATAACTTGTTTTGATATTGGACTAAAGCCTCTGGCAACCAGCACAGTTTAGCCACTTTGCTATTTAGTGATTTTGTATCCACTGTGACCTCGTTTGCAACATGATGCCTTTGAATATTTGACTGCCAAGGTTTGAGTTGATGGGAATGGTAGTTGTACCTCAATAGACATTTCTGCACAAATGATGCCTCAATGTGGCAAAGACTGCCATTAATGCTGTTTCATGGCGATTTTTCCTTTTTGTTATTTTCAATTTTTTTAATTTGTTTTTTTACTATAAAACTAGCCGTTGATTTTTTTTATATATTTTCATATAAAACATGGAAAATGTAGGCACCAAAAGTTGCTATATAATTACCCAGGGTTTTTGTAAGATTTAGCACGAGTAACTTTTTGTACAAAAGTTGTACATGTCAATAGTGCAAAAGTTATATTTAGTAACCTTTTTTGAATGTCCTTAAAACATGGGTTTTCTTGCTTATTTTGCATTGCTAATGGACTTGGTCTTTTTGCAGTTGGCGTTTAGCTCAAAGTGGGCTTAGCGGCTGTAAAGCGTTCATTACAGCACTTTATATACCTCAGTATATTTTTTTTCTTATTGGAACATGTAAATAAAGCCCATAAGACACAAAGTGCCTCGTGCATTCTTGTTTTGCACCCTTTTGTACACTTGCTTCACTTACAAATGCATGGATATAAAACAGATATTGGCCAAGTTGCATGTGTAGGCATGCATTTCAGATGCCAGCATCGACCTGCATCAAATTCTACTGCAGTCTTAGCTCTTGCTAAACGTGTCCTACTTTGGGATATTGGGCCATTTTTTATTTAAGTGGATTGAGAACTTTTAACTATTACCTCCATACCATTTAAACAGGATTTTCAATATTCCATCTGCTGGCCACCTTGCATCCAATGGCTATAAAGCCTGCTTGCCTTTGTATGAAAAGTTCACACCATGCTCAAAAGGACATGGCTAACAATGGGATGGATATGAACATTTGAAATTGCCTTTGGGGAGGCAATAGCCATCACTATCTGCCTTTAAATGTTTGCAATGGTTACTTGAACATTTAAAAAACGAACTACAAAAAGTAAGAGCCTGAGGGCATATTGCACGGTTACATTTAAGTCCACGTTGAGCTACCCTGGAGCAATGGAAAGGTCATGACGCTTGGAGCACAGGAAGGATTTTTGACATTGGTCAGTGACCTTCCACCTTTTACAAGTTGCTCCCCCACATTACAAAAACTGCTGGGCTTGGCCATAAGAATATCCAGTCATTAAAATTACTTAACTGGTGAAAGCAGGAGATGGGGGTTTCTTGTTTTAAGTAGATCATTTGAGCATGTACATCTGAAACCTACATCTAAATATAGAAAAACTGCAAAAAAATTTCTTCGCCGTGGCAATTGGAGTATCAATAATGGAACTGCAGCTGGGGTGGGGGTGGGAGTTTACAATTTATATTTTTAGTATTTGATATTACAAAGCACCACATTAACATCGCCGATCTAAAGTTTGGGACCAATTGCAATCCCAGCTCTGCTAGTGTATTTTAGAGCACATAAACCGCCACATTCAAGCTCGAGCTATTGCATCCCTCGCGTGCACGCAACTACGTGTGCCCATTCCAGGGCAGATTACCTTGGCACTGAATGCGCAAGGCTTCTGGGTGCATAATGAAAGGATTACAGTAGTTTGGCTTTGGTGGTTCGCTTTGATTCGTCCAAGTGGGTTATTTGATACTTAGTGTGTGTGATCCAAGCAGGGAATGCTTACCAAAGTTTACGAAAGAGATTCCAGACTTTGTCTTTTGATGTATTTGCAACTCCACCCTTTGTGTTGCAGCAACATTGCTTTTCTACAGGTGTGAATCAGAAGGTAGTGTTGCATTAAAAAAACAATTAGTGTAACATCACGATCTTTTCAACTTGAAGAATGCTCGCTCCATAGAATTTTTCACAATGATGTTTACGAAGTCAAACGTTGGTCAATTGCAATGCTATAGTGAATACATAGTGACAAACTACTCATGTGCGTTTCGTATTGCAAGTGTCCAAAGTTTGCTTTGTAGACATCGTGAATTATCCCATGGAGCAATTCAAGTTTCACAAAGTAAAAATATTACTGTACAGCATGAATTTGCAATCATAAGCTAGGTCATTTTCAAATTGTCATAAATTATATGAACAAATGTGTCGAATTAGTGCAGAGAACGTAACAATCATGTTCCTTTTATAGGGAAGTGTCCGTGAGTCTCAGAATTTCTGGATCTTACCTGAGATGATTGGCCAAGTACTCCCAGCATTTATAGCCAAAAGCAATGTTAATTCGTATGGTTTTCTATCTGTGTTCCATTATGAATATATATATCTGATTTGCATTTGTTCCTTACAAACAATAATTATAATTAATTTTACCAGGTGGTTGATTCCATGGTGGAGGAGGTTCAAAACCGGTTCAGTTGGTTACACGTCTTAATCAAGTTTTCTTTAATTCACAAAACTGCCTTTAAATCTAAAAATAGATATCAAATTGGAGACGTTTCAGACAAAAGGCTCTTAAAATTATTAATATTTGCAAGGAACAAATTCAAATATATATTCAAAATGAAAACAGCACAAACGTTATACATCTGCATTGCTGTAGGCTATGAATGCTGGGAGAACTTGGCCAAACATGTCAGGTAGGACCCAGCAATTCTGAGACTCGCCGATACTTCCCGAGAAAAGAAACACGATTCATTTAACGTTATCACTGCACACAACATGTATGAATCAAATAAGGTTGATTCTTACATAGGATTTAATTACTGTATCATGGGCTTAGTTTTGGTGTGCTTAAATATATTAATCGGTGTATGGTTACACGTCTAACAATCAGCACACATCAGCCATTATCTATTCAGTGCTGGGTGAAGACCTCCCCAAGTTGCCATCTCTCACGATCCTGCCATGCAATAATCCATCAAGCACCTCCACACAAACTGATATCATCGTTCCATCTCCTCAGTGGGCGACATTCTAACATACATAAATAGGCCTCTTTTCTCCGAGATGCCTATGTCCCATCATTCTTAAAACATGATGCAGATGCAGTTTAATTTAAACGAAATGGTAACCATCCTAAAACTCATGGAAAAGCTTGAAAAACATGTAGGAAAAAATATATAGGAAAAATCCCTTTTTTAGATTGTTAAATAAATAGCGTGATTTTGTTAATTAACCTTCTAATATTGCCTCCAAGTCTCTGCCTACCTTAATTATATCGGATGAATCAAGCACACACCAAAGCCACAAGAACAGTCACACACTCCGTACGTTTGACCTTATGTTGGTAGGTGGGAAGCCACATTTATCAAGTACACGTGCTTCCAGCTAAAATGTCATGGGATATCTACATAAGAGTTTACCACTCGTTTGTACATCTTATCCCATGGTGCAAAATTACCCCACACCCAGTTTAAACCCTGTTGTGGTGTCTCCAGCTCATTATACCCCTGACCATACTCACTCCTATGATCCCCGAGGGGCTTTACATCCGGATGCAAGTTTCTTGAGCTTCTTGTTCATCTAAGGCAGAGTTTCTCAACTGGTTGCATTAACGCCACGTGCAGAACTTTGCCCTTTCTGTGGCAATATGTAAAAAAATGGTGCGCAGAATGTCGCTAATCCAGCAGTGGATTGATCAAGACTGCTACAGATGATGACTATATTTGATATTCAAATGCCCTCACTGGCACTATTGCCTAAACAGGTTAAAAACACAATATAGTATTCTCATGGGGCTTGTCTTTGGTGATTTGTGTTTATGTACAGGCCCTTTTTGTTAATTCACTGCTGGATGAGGGCTGGTTAATGGCAGTCGGTGAAGGCAGGGCGCATAGACGTACGGGAATAGTATAGTACAACAAGTGATTTTGCTGCATATCCATCTCATGTATGTCTGCTTAGCGCCCAAGATCTGACGAAATGGGGTGCATTCTGGGTGAATTGGTAAGGGACGTGGAGGAGGGGGGGGGGTTTGAATTTTACTCTGAGAAAACGTGACATTACCGTGATAATGTGTACTTGTCTCAAAGTATTATCTCAGGGAGCAGGAGGGCGGACTGGCATTTTCTGTAAATCAACAAAATAAACCTAAGCGTCACGCTATAACATTCACGATTACAATATTTAGAGAGCGTTTTAGGATTCCAGTGAGAGCGAAGGAGAGCAGCAGCTGACAGGATGCCTACTTGCAATAAAAGCGCTGTAATGTTTATTGTTTTCCGTGTTCAATAACTAATGCTAACAACTGTCAATATTGGTAATCATTAAAGTGTATTTACTTTCATTATACATTTTTGTATTATAATTCGTATTTACGTTGTCGAAATGTAAATATAATTGTTTTCCATGAATAATTTCTTTAACTTTTAGTCTTTTAAGTCATTTTACTTGGTTTTCGTATGATATGTTTTACTTCCAAACATGCACCTCTCCAAGCTTTTATGCGCACTTTTCAGCTGTTGTTAAATTTTCTTTGTCAAGGTCCATATGTATGTTCCATGTCACAACAGGTACTACAAAGTATTGATATTCACTTGCCTTTATTATACCCAAGATCCTCCTTGCAACATGGATTTTTCTAGGTTATAAAATTAATATCTGCTCATTCTATATTTTTGAAAGATAATGTATAGCCATTTGCCAATCTACTGCTCGATAGAAGGCCTCCCCACATCTTACGGCCTTTAGGGTTGTTTAACCATACTTCACCACGCTGGTCATGGCGAGTTAATGAAAGACCAGTTCATATATCACTCATCCGTTCCTCATATTGGCCATGGCCAGGAATTGAGCTCAGTTCGCTGGTTTCATTGTGCAGTGTGCTATCCACTCTGGCAACACTTCACCTCTATTTGTACGATTCGTGGCAAAAAAAAGAAAGAACAGGTACATTTCTTTGAAAGGTATCAGAAAAATAGCCAGGTGTTTCAAAGCAAAAATCTCTAGAACTTCCTACAAGACAAGGTGCGCATAAACCCAATGTGATCAACGCAAGTTCACGGTCATACATCCCAACGAAAGCACTCCTGTGCGGAGAAAAAAAAATGAGTGGGGAACCTTTAAGCATTTGTCTGCCTTACCCATGAAACAGCCCCTAGTACCCTTACCAGCCGAACATCTGTCCAACGGCTGATTGATCAGTCCACCCAGCCGGCAGATGCAGGAGGCCCTCAGCCACGAAAAGGCGCATGAATGCGGCACTTGTCCGAACAAGAGAGAGGAGCCTGCCAGGACACGGCCCCCTCTAATCTTACTTCCCTGCAAGGCCCCAACGTCGCGGCGCTGAGTCTCCGTCTGCAGTGACGGAGCAGAGCAGCTGTGCGCTTTTGTGGGAATGTGCTCCCTTGTTGACATTTTCACAGTATTGAGACTCGCAGTGCCAGCTGTGGGTGTCTCGGATTTGAAGGGGCGTGGGGGTGGCTGTGAGATTTGATTTGTCAGAATATTTTCAGACTCTTATTTTATCATTTGATCAATGTGAAATATATCTATTATACAATATCCTGAGAAGTCTGAATAAGCTATATAAAAAACAATGTTTTTGTTTTACATAATGTAATAATTATTAAAATAAATAA